GCCCCTGGCAGACTGCTAGTCTAGCCGAGTCCTGGGCATCTGTTAGCGACATGGATCTAGAGGTTGGAAGTCTAGAGACCAGTGAGATGGTCCTAGTTCAAGAGGACCACAGCGAGAACCACTCCTCCACCTCTGACATCATCCACCTAGAGGCGGAGCTCCATCAGAGGGCGGAGTCAGACGAGGAGGAGCTTCAGAGCAGCGTGCTGATCATGATTGGCAGCCAGCTGGAAGAGATTGGAGCACTTCCTGCAGAATCAGATCTCAAGCCTCCACAGACTGTGGAGCTCCTGATGTGTGTGGAGGAGCCAGTTGTGGAGGAAGTTGATGCAGAGGTGGCTTCTGAGCCAGTTTTCACTCACACTCCCCTTCTGTCTGAGCCTTTAGATTTTACACTGGCTTCTGTTCCCATACCTGAAATCATCTCTCAGGTTTTAGATCATCTCCCACCCTCCACAGTCACACTCTCAGAGGAACCTCATGCCTCTGAATCAGCGTCTATTAATGCACCTAGTGTGTCAGCGTCATCTTCAGAAGAGGTTGTTCCAAAGGCAGACCCGCTTTCAGCCACACCCTTTGGACTCCCTGTGCTGCTGGTTGGTGGTGCCGCCCTGGTTGCAGTAGTGGGAATACTTACATATACCCTGATTAGAAAGTAGCAGGACTGTGTATCTCTTTAATAGTTTTAAAATTGTACAACAATTCAGCAGATTGTATTATTGATATAAAAATAAGGTGTTATTAAATACTGTCATTTGTCTTATTTTGCATATTTACACACATACACCGAGACTAAACACAGTCTGGAAGTCTGGATCATCGTTCAACTCAAAAATCAAAAGGAAAAAAATTACATTGTAGTATGTGTTATACAGTCTTTAATTTATTCTGATCTGGAAAATCAAGTGACAGGATCTTTTTCAGTATTACAGTACAAATATAAGCTTGATAAATAAAGTAATTTTTTATAGTAATAGTAATACAAATGGTGTAGGGATAGTCATATAAATGCTGCCATTAACTAATAAACTAATTAACGTTGGAATATGTTTTAATAAAAACTATTCAGCGAATGTGTGGCTAGATGACGCTATGTCTAATATGAAATGTCACCGCTCTGACAGCAGGGGGCAGTATGAACTCACCATAGGCTGAGCGCGACAAGCAAGAGAGTGAGTGAAGGATTCGTGTACGGAAGTGTTTGCCATTCTCATGATTTCTCCTCAAGTAAAAGCCTCAGAGTCAGACTTTTTACAGTCTATGGTCAGACCCTCCAAAATGAGTAAATCGAGAACCTTGAAGAAAGAGAAAATAAGTGTGGCAAGCGAGGTAATTGGCATTTTAATAGATATGAAATTGTATGCCATATTATGTATGTGTATGAAACAGTTAACAGATAATGTTACTTTTCAGTGTACTGAAAAATAAAATTATATATAAAAAGTAAAACCGATCATAATGTCGTTGTGCTATTCTAAAAAATCATATATGAAATTGTCTGCTGTCACATCGGTGTATCTATTGAAATATGATGCTCATAGCTTGGTCTCTTTTAGATTGACCGCACTGAAGAGCGCAAATTACACTGTAAAACCAGCCTGGAGAGGGCAGAATTCAGACAGAGAAAAGAGCAGCTCTCAGACAACGACAGGTGATTATGCCAACATTTTGCCGCATAACCTAATACAGAAACACAGCAAACGAGTCTTGTTATGTACTTACAGGCTGGCCCTAGAAGATGAGATGACCATATTGAATGAAAGAATTCAGAAATATGGTGAGTCCGTTTTATGGAATGGTTGGGGGTTCAAAAATACATCAATCGGACAATGAAAATTAAGTGCATTGGTCATCGAATTTAATAATCACTTAATACCCAGTGTTTGAATTTGTGGATTAGTTTACTCAAAATACTCTATTTTCCTAAAGTTGTTATGAAGCATGCAAAATGATGACCCACATTTCTAATTTCTTGATGCATTGCATTACCTGGTAAAGAAAATTACTGTGAGAGCAGTTTTATCTGATCGTATCTTTTATATTTTATTCTTCAGAAAAGGAGCTGCAGGTGCTGAGAGGAGAGAACAGGAAGAACATGATGCTGTCTGTCGCTCTGTTAGCCATCAGTGCTCTTTTCTACTACACATTTATATATTAAGAGGTATTTTTCTCTCATGCCAAACACTGTCAGAGAATGAGATTTGGGGAGTCGGATATCCATTCATACCCATCAGTGTTCATCATTTGGCAACACTGGTTTGTTCAGAGGTTGTGAATTTGTCAGTGTTATTTTAGCCAAAAATACATTATACCGTCTTCATCTTGGCCTCAACGTGTTGGATTGCCTCAACTCTATAGTTTGTTTGCCATGTAACAAAGAGACATTAGATGCTTGTTCATCAGAGAGAGACACGGAATTGGGATTATGTATGTTTATATGATCCTCATTGTGAAACACTTTACCCAATAATGACTAAATGATGTTTCTCTCCAGATCACTGTTTATTGCATTTCAACAGGACTAA